TACCTGATGACCTGCACACGACCTGACCTTGCATACCCTCTTAGCATTCTCGCACGCTATGTTGCTCCTGGGAGACACCGACCAGAGCACATGGCTGCAGCGAAGAGGGTGTTGCGCTACTTGTGCAGTACGTCGGGCATGGGGCTAGTGCTTGGAGGGCGCAGTCCAGTGGTCCTCACTGGGCACGCGGACGCTTCTTGGGCTGACGACCAGGCTACGCAGCGGTCGTCACAGGGTTACACCTTCAGCCTTGGTTCCGGCTCTGTTTCGTGGCGGGCTACCCGCTCGTCTTCTGTTCTCGGCTCCAGTTGTGAGGCTGAGATCTACGCCGGGGCTATGGCTGCACAGGAGTTACGCTGGCTCACCTACCTGTTGACCGACCTTGGAGAGCAGCCTCGTTCTCCTCCAGTCCTGTACGTAGACAACAAGGCCATGCTGGCCTTGTGTCGAGAGCAGAGACTGGAGCACAGAACGAAGCACATTGCTCTCCGCTACTTTCTTGCTCGTGAGCTACAGCAGCGTGGACAGTTGCGACTTGCGTACGTGGCCTCTGAGGCCAACACTGCTGATGTCTTCACCAAGGCACTTGCGCCTTGTGATCATCAGCGTTGTTGCACGCAGTTGAGTCTTGTGCCTGTCTTGCCTCACTTGCTCTCCTCTTGACCTTGCTTGTACCTTCGCCTATATATACTCTTGCTCTTGCTTACTTGACTCTTGTATATCTCTATATATGATCTTGCATGTGAACTGGCCATGTGGCCTTGAACTTGTGCTCGGAATGTGTGGTGACTTTGTGATCCACCCTGAGCTTTGCTTTGCTTTGCTTGACTGGTCCTGTGACCCCTTGTTCTCCCCCACTTTGCCTATGGGGGTGTGTCAGAACTATATAGCTTATACTATTGTGTAGGCTATAGTGGGGTATCCCATAGGGGGTACAACCCAATTAGGGTTTCCTATTTGTACTCACTTCTTTCATAGTCATTTCATTCTCGTTCTCTCTTTCACACCGAGCCGTGAGGTCGGGATGCGATGTGCGAAAATGGCGGGATGATTATCGATGCGATGGTCGCGAGTGGTAACGGTGCTGACTGAGGTGCTACAGTGATGTACGCGTTGAGCAGGGATGCGAAGTAAGGAAAAGGGATTTTCCTTACAGTTTACGAAGGCGCAAAAATGTTTCGTGTGCGTGTCAGGTTTTTTGTCTACAAGTTTTTTTTTTAACGCGTGTCAAACGCGATTTTCTGAAACATATACGGAGCTCTGAATCTAAGCAGGGGCTGAAAAAAAAAAAAAAAAAAAAAAAAACCCCTAGCGACAGGAACGCAATTTGGGAGGCATCAACCCTAAACACGGGAAGCATGGTGTTTAGGGTTAATGCTTTGGATGTGGTGGAATTCGGGAGGGATCAACCCTAAACACGGGAACTTTCAAGGTGTTTAGGGCTGATGCATTGAAAGTGTGCCTGGCTCCCTACGGAATTTAGTTCGTTTTACACCGTAAAAAAAACCAGACCAAACAAAAACAGCATAAGACAAGCCTTGTCTGCGCGACAAGACTGAAGTGACGTAACACTTCGCAAAATTTGTCTTTGCTGAAGGGATCGAAACCCAAGCTGCAATCCCGCAATTCTGGCCGTAAAACCAAATGGCACCTGTAATGTCGATACGCACTCGTTCGCAGCATGTAAATAACGTGGAAGCGCATGTACCGTATGGCCCCGGATAGAAGCGCAGGCCTATGTTAAGCGCATGCGCTTGTATCTGGAGCAATGCGCTTATGGCCGATCCTCAATTATAAGCGCACCCCTTTGGAATTCTTGACTTATTATAAGCGCACCCTTTTAGTTAAAAAAAAAGAATTTCATTTTTTTTAACCTACCTAGCCTACATGTTCTAAACTTTCCATTAAGAATGACAATCACATACAAGGGTGGTCTCTGCTGTCCTGCACTACACCTTTCAACCTGCCTAGTCTACCCTACTGCCTTTTCTTTCTCCTCGTCCGACCCAGGCTCCGTGGAGTTGTTGCCCCAGAACCCATCTGCCTGGATGTCGTCGTCCACCTCCACCTCATGGGACAACTGGCACCTTCGGTGCGCCAGCACCAGTTTGTCTTCGCTCCCATCAAGGGCGTTGCTGATGCCGCAAGTGAGGAAGGCTTTCTTGATGAGGTCGGCGGGCACCGCCTTCCAGGCCCGTGAAATCCACTTGAGCACCACCTCCGGAGGTGGTTTCTTGATGTTCCCTGCATCACACGGAGTGGGGCAGGGAAAATATGAGACAAGTAAACATGCATTCAAGCTCAAGATTTGCAGACGGGAGCACATGCCGTCACTCACCTGCCGGGGTCAGGATGTTCATGCCGTCCTCCTCAAACCAATTCTGGTACTGCTGACGAATGCTTGCTTTGAAGCTCTTGTTGATCGACACATCGAGGGGCTGCAGGTCTGCCGTGCAACCCGCCGGAATGATAGCAGGCACGATGTTGAGCGCCGCGAATCTCGCCTTGACTTCTGGTGTCAGGTGACCGCGATACGAGTCGAGCACCAGCATGGCGCTACGACTCTGCAGGCCGAATTTCGGCTTCAGGAACGGCACCACGCCCGTGTTGAGCCACTCGATGACGCCTGCGGCCTCCATCCACCCGTTGGCTTGGCAGCCGACCACAACATCTGCACGCAACGAAAAAGAACGGTTAAGGACTCAGGTAGTAACGGGAATAAACACGGTGGACGATCACTTACCGTTCGGGAAGTCACCCTTGGGGAGTGTCTTGCGCTTGAAAAACACCCACGGCTTCAGCTTCTCGCCCGTCGCCGTGCACGCAAGCATGACGGTCACTCTCTCCTTCTGGTACCCACCGCTGCGAATGGGCACCGACCTCACGCCCGTCTGCTCCACGGTGGTCGTCGCCGGCATCTCTAACCACAGCGGTGTCTGGTCGGCGTTGATGATGTAGCGGTTGTCAATGTCGTATTCGTGCCGGGCGTCACGTACGTACTGCCAAAGATCATTGCACTGCTGAGCCACGTCTGCAAAACAGGGAGAAAGGTACATACAGTAAACCAAATTAGTATGACGCACAGGAGACATGCGAAAAAAACTAAGCGTAATCGGGTACCCACCAAAATCAGCAGTAAACGACCCACTTACGCTCCTGTGTTTTCTGTGCCACCTTTGTTTTCATGCGCACGCTGAGGTTCCACCGCCTGCGGAACCGCTCCGTCCACCGCTGACTGCCTTTCCACTTGACGTCCGGGTATAGAACCTTCATCACTTCTTTGGACCACTCTTGCAGCCGGCCGACCGAAACCGCAACTCCGCGGCGTCGCCAGTCGAGGAGTTGCGCGTACACCTTTAACTCCATGGGGCGGTACCAAGACGACCTCCCGCGCCCGTGAAGTCGCATCCGTGCTCCGTGTGCAGCCTTGAGCGCATCCGCTTGGGTTTTCCATTCTGTCAGACATTTTCGGTGTATGCCTGACTCCCGCGCCACTTCGCTCACCGAATCCGCAAGCTCGAGCCGCACGAGCCACCTCAACTTCTCCTGGGCGGTGTAGGACTGCCGCTTATGTTGATTCAGCTTGTGCCTGGGGGAGGGGGGGCGGGCATCTCGATTCTCGGTAGACGGGTGGGGGCGTTTTTTATTAAGGGGCGGATATGTCGGTACCGGCATCTTCGCGCGTGGTGCGTCGCGCCACCAGGACTCCACACCGTCCTCGTCCTCGTCACGGTCGGGGAACACGTCTTCCTCGTCGCCCGCTGCACCGTCGCCACCAGCTTCACCGTCGCCTCTAGCTTCGCCGACGCCGCTGTCATGTTTGTCGGTAGCCACATCATCGTCGGCGCCCACAACCGACTCATCCCACGCGCAGGATTCTGGTTGTCCCCACCGTGGTGCAGTCGCTGGAGCTTGGATGCATGCATCGCGGGCCTTGGGTGTGTCCGCTTCAGCCAACCATTCATCGAACGTGGCTGGTAAATACAGTTGGAGCACGGGCCGTTGGTGAGCACCTGCCGCAGCAAAAGCAGGCGGATTCGGAGGAGCGGGAGGTGCGGGAGGAGCGGGTGGAGCAGGGGGTGCAGGGGGAGCAGGAGGAGCAGGGGGTGCAGGGGGATCCGGTGGCACTGGAGGCGCTGGTGGCTCACGGGTATACCACCCGTCTTCGGTAAGTCGCCATGTGCGGCGTGGCTTTTTCTTGAAGAGGATGCTCGTCCCACTAAATTCCGCCATGGCTTCGCCTGCCAGGCTGGGTTGACAAGGAACTGAATGAAAAAATCAGAGAAGAGGGTGAAGAAATGGGCAACGACGGTGACCCCTGCTGTGTGACGGCTCGGGTTCCTCGTCGATGACAGGCAGGAAACCCCCGCCCACTCCCGTAGAGGCGCCTGCGTGGCAGCATCTACGCTGCGCTGGCAGGGAATCTTGCCGAACCTTCGAGATGGTTCTGCCCGAATGCACATGCCTCGCAGCGCATGCGGCTCTGATTGGGCCGCACGACAACATCCTCGTCACGGCTGTCACATTCGATGTTTCCAGACAACATTGTGCGGTGGTAAACCGAACCGCTGCGGTTTCTGCCTGAAAACCATGCACGATCCCACTTGGTGCATGGTCGGTTGAATTCGCCTTATTGAGAGCTTCACAATGGTGTGTTCAAAATTGATTTTCATTTTTCCCTTTATACAAGCGCATGCGCTTATAAATCTGACTCAATTATAAGCGCACCCCCCCAAAAAACAATGTTTTATTATAAGCGCAGGTGCGCTTCTATCCGGGGTATTACGGTAGGTCGACCCATTTGGACGAGATTTGGTTGCCCTACCTGCGGTGCGAGGCTGGTCGATGGGATTAAGAGAAGTTGGCGCGCCGGCGCGTCGCGCAATCTCGCCGGTGGACTTGGATGAACGAGTGCTGAAACCTGCGTTACAGACTTACTCCCTGACTTGAAAACCGAACTCTATTTACTGGTGCAATACGAGAAAATATAATATAGTTATCTATTGCCTAGCATCCATTTCATCATGCGCCCACTTCTCAACCACCCCTCTTGGTGTCCAATCGTCCTCTTTAGTCGCCAACTCATTTGCCAATAAAGCTCCTAACAACGCAACCCTCAGTGCCTCGTCCCTATGCCGACCCACCATCGACCACACATGCCGAACCTGACGACCCTCCGGACCAGTGAGCTCCAGGTACGGCACGACCACCAGGTGCTTTGCAAAGAGTGGTGCAATGCGGTTGAGGCGGTTTTGCTCCCACGTGGCTTCCTGTAAATGGCGGTTAGAAGGTTCCTCGTTATACCAAGTGTCCAAAAACTGAGGGCAGGGGAAACAGTAAAAAAATGGGGGGTGAGGGGAGGGGGAGGGGGTAGTGAAAGGGAAAGGAAGATTAAGGGAGAATATGTGAAGAGAAATGTGGCAAGGAAAACTATGGATTCATATTGCCAGGTAGCAAGGTGAGAAACAACACTCATTGGGTAGGGTAAGAGCACCAGAGAGTTCTTTTCTGCAAGGGGAGGCAACGAAACGGCATGCATGCTATGCAATCAGGCACGTGACAGGAGCACCTGAAAAGGACCCTGACAGGCACCTGATGGGAGAAGCATACCTGGAGAGAGCGAGGTGGGGGTCGCTCTGGCGACATCATCTCCCCACCCACGTGTTTGAAGCAGTGTTTTGAGGCGTCTCACAACACTACTTCAAACATGCGATCAATGCTAGAGAAGCGTTGTGCAGAGTGGAATGGGTTGGTGTATGTTTTGCTCCTAAGAAACAATACTGGGCACCAGTCGATCACCTTGAAAGTGAGGGGCGAGCGTCTCAGCAGCATAACCCCCGCATTGATTGACTCCAACGATGCTTTGAACAGAGCACCCGGGAAGCATCACTGGGGAGCCTTGAACAACTATATGAGCATACCAGAGAGTGGGCGGGGCGCTCACCTTGAAGGTAAGGGGCGAGCGTCTCAGCAGCATAACCCCCGCATTGATTGACTCTAAGGAGGCATTGAACAGAGCAGCCGAGGCGCCATTCTCCTCCCCTGAATTCCGGGCGAACAGACCAATCAGCTCCTCCGAGGGTTCCTCTGCACATGGGGCAGCGGGTGATTGGCTGCAGGCTGCCACGTCAGCAGGAGGAGGATCCAGCAGGCCAATGGGGAACTGCGGCATCCACGTCTGATTGGTGAGCTCCATGCCGTAGCGATCCCTTATCCAGTTGAATGCTCCCTGGTGGGGTGCAGGTGGCAGTTGCAGGGAGATGGGAGGGAAAAAGGGAAACAGGCAGGGTAGAGAATCAGGCAAAGAGGCGGGTAGAGAATGAGGCAGAGATAGAGAAGCAGGCAGAGGAGCAGGCAGAGAAACCGGCAGTAAAACGGGCAGAAAAGCAGGCAACAAAGAGGGCAGAGAAGATGGCAGAGAAGATGGCAGAGAAGATGGCAGAAAAGATGGCAGAGAAGATGGCAGAAAAGATGGCAGAGAAATCAGGGACGAGGAAGGCAGCCTCTGGGTTGAGATACCGACCGTGAAGGGCAAGGCAGCGAGCCAGGCTTCAATGGGGCAGGCGGTGGTTGTCCATTCGGAAGTAGGCGTCCGAGTCGAGATAGAAGGCCCAGGCACAGCAGCACGAGAGTCGGTGAGCATTGACGCTGCCAGGGGGATGGGCAGGGTACTGACCGTGAAAGGCAGTCCTGCGAGCCAGGCTTCAATTGGAAGGCGGTGGTTGTCCATTCGGAAATAGGCGTCTGAGTCGAGATAGAAGGCCCAGGCACAGCAGCAGCGCAGCTGATCCCGAATGAACAGCAGCTGGAAGGCCAAGGGGGGGAAAGAAGCGTAAGGAGGAGGGAGGAACGGGAGGCAGAAAGAGGCAACGCTGGTGAGAGGCAAGTGGCACGAGCGTGAGGTTTGAGAAATAGGCGTTGACCCACTCACTCGTGAGGCAACAGCGCAGAGAAATAGGGTCAACGCCTATTTCTCAAACCCTGTGAGTCACGAGTGTGAGGTTTGAGAAATAGGCGTTGACCCAGGCAAAGCAGCAACGCACTTGTTCCTGGAAGAACAGCAACTGAGAGCTTGTGGTTTCACGAGAGGAAAGGGGGCAAAGAGCAGGAAGGAAAGGGGGCGTTGGTGGTTTCACGAGTCGGCTATATTTGAGTCACTTTTGAGCAAAGAGGGGCTAGGTTGAGCGGCGTGGATCGAAACGAGCGACCTAAAAAACAGCCGTGTTTTGAGTCGACTGGAAACATGCATTGAAGAGTAGCGTTTAACGCAAACAAACATTGAAGAGTAGCGTTTAACGCAAACATGCATTGAAGAGTAGCGTTTAACGCAAACATGCATTGAAGAGTAGCGTTTAACGCAAACATGCATTGAAGAGTAGCGTTTAACGCAAACTGCATTGAAGAGTAGCGTTTAACGCAAACATGCATTGAAGAGTAGTGTTTAACGCAAACATGCATTGAAGAGTAGTGTTTAACGCAAACATGCATTGAAGAGTAGTTGTTTAACGCAAACATGCATTGAAGAGTAGTGTTTAACGCAAACATGCATAGGCTCTTCTCTGTACCTTCATGACAGAGAAACAGGCACTCATGCAGAGAAGAGTGATGCAAAGATGAATAAGAGCGAACGCTCAGATACAAAAGAAAAACATCCACCTGCTGCTGCATGCACTCACACAGACAGACCATGAGCCGCAATTTGTAGCGAGTCTCGTGGTGACTTTTGAGTCTCGCAGTGACTTTTGAGTCTCGCGGTGACTTTTGAGTCTCGTGGTGACTTTTGAGTCCACTCAAAAGTCACCTCACACACACCTTGAGCCACGATGGGTGGCGAGTCTCGTTGTATTCCCGTGTGTCCTGATTCACATAGCGGTAGCCATGACGGTTGGCATACAGCCTGGCAGCCATTGAACGGGGCGAAGAGAGGAAGATTGTTGAGACGCCTTTTAGGCCGTCTTGAACCGCTTGTGTGATTTGATTCACATAGAGTAGCCATGACGGCTGGCGTATAGCCTAGCAGCCATAGAAGGAGGGAGAAGGGAGCACGGGGGAAAGAGAGGGAGCGAGGAAGGGGTAAGAAGAGGGGGGGCGGGAGAAAGAGGAGGGACGTGCGGTTGGTGGGAGTGTGGTACACATCGGCGCATGGGGAGGGGTTGGAGAGAGGGGGACTCGCCGACTGATGGCCTTGGGAGGCCATTCAGAACTTTTGAGAATTCTCAAAAGGGAGGCGATTCAGAATGGCATGGTGGACTCGTTCCTTTTAAATGAGACATACTGGATGGGCGCTGGGTGTCTCTAAAAAAAATGGCTAAACCAATTGAAAACACATATCTTAACCCCCCCCCCAACCTCCTCCCTCCCCCTTCCCCCAACCTCCTCCCCCTTCCCGCAATCTCCTCCTCCTCTCCCCCAACCCTCTAAGAGAAAAGAAGCAAAACTGACTGGTTGATAGCCTTGGAGGCCATCCAAAAGGGCAGGGAGCGGCCGTTCCTCTCAAAGTAGTCGTAGCCTGCCGCCTCCACATAGTCCCTCGCCTGCCGGCTGTCGCTCTGCAGTATGCACCCAGGAAGATGCGACCTCCTGTCACCATTGACGTTCCCCACCACAGCACCAGCAGCACTATCCTTGCCACCAGCATGCCTGCCTTTGCCCCTGCCGCTGTTGCTCAACCTGCTGTCACTGTCGCTGCTGCTGCTGCTGCTGCTGCTGCTGCTTTTGCTGGCACTGCTGCCACCAGTGCTGCTGGTACCACCTGCATCTGAATGGCAGTCAGGCGAGAGTAAGCCAGGGGGTGGCTCTGCGATTCAAAGGTGTCAGAAAGAAAACGGAAGGAACATGCGAGATTGCCTTTGAGATGCCCCTAAAATAGCCAGGGTGGAGTTGTACTTTGGTTGGGTCATGGCGAAAGGCGAGAGAGAGGTTAGGATATTTTTTTCTAGAATGTGCAGTGGACAGGGGGGACTGCAATGGGAAAAAAATGGTCATTAAAGGGAGTCATCAGAGTAGCAAATGGTGCATTAAAGAGGAAACCACGGAGAAAGAGAAAGGCAGTTACGATGCACAACTGTAAAAAAAATGGTGGGAAATTTTGCTTTCTACATCGCATATTCATTCATCTGTGATGTGACGCATCCACGCACACGCAAGTGACTTTCTATGACGCATGCCATGCCATACCATACCATACCGGACCATACCATACCATACCATACCATACCATACCATACCATACCATACCATACCATACCATACCATACCATACCATACCATACCATACCATACTATACCATACCATACCATATATTAATCGCTCCACCCTTTCAACAGCTGCTGAAACATGTGAAGCCCGAGCGTCCAGACGGGCTTTCAACAAGGACACTTCCTCCTGCATGCATACAGGTTGGAGAACAAGGGCGCAGAGGGGTACAGGACGGTTCAATGCATGACCAGTGGTTGGATTAATTGTACACGCTGTTGCGCATGAGAGTGGGTTGCTGCGCATGAGAGTGAGCTGCTGCGCATGAGAGTGAGCTGCTGCGCATGCTTAAGGCCTGAGAGTGAGTCATAAGAACTCAAAAGTCTGCGTGCATGTGCTAATGCTGCAATGCAGTTGCCTTCATGGAAACTGCCAGGAGCTAGTGTTGCAGTACAATGGGGTACAATGAGGGACAAGTCACCAGACTGTGAGTGCACAAGGAAACCGTTGGAGAGATTAAAGAGATAGTAATCACACTGTTCTGACATCACATGGGACAAGAAGGAAGAACTGGAATGCGGGGAATCTGTAGCGTGGGAATGGGAGTAGGACATAGAGTGACCGGACGTACGGTTTAGGGATGTGGATTCGAGAGTCAGGCACCGCCAAGAGAAACGAGGGAAAATGTGAAATTCGAGAATAACCGCTTTTCGTTTTTTTTTGGCAAAATTATTACCGCCAGTTGGGAGCGGCGCCGATGCAGCAAGGGAAGGCAAACGGCCAACGCAGCGACGCTTAGAACGGTGAGCGTGAGCGATCGCCATGAAAGCGAGGGCATCAGAAAAATGGGAACGCAGCATTGAGTGGTAAACGCCGACATGCCTGGGATGTATGACGTGCAGATTGTGGTTTCTTCCCACCGCAATAAACGACCAAGGGTATTGCCCAATGTACATCGAAAACAGAGGGGGGTCAAGATCACCGTTAACGCGCGAAAACTGTGCTACAGTGACCTGGCGTGACTTGTCATAAATTTCGATTAGTTGCCCAGTACCCCCAGTTACGACCGAGAAGTATTGAGGCCTAGGTTTACATCAACCGGAATTTACTGTGACATCCCGCGCGTTAACCGTGGTTGGAGTCGATTTACCGTCGAGTCAACAGCAGAGGCGAAAGAACAGGAAAGTGTTGGTTACCAGTGCGTAACACGTAACAATTTCTGTTACTTCTCCTGTATTCAGAAACTTCTTAAATATGATTAAGATGTCTGGATTGTGCCAGCAACCTGGTAACTTGATATGTTACAAAATTCAAAACCAATATCCAATGGAACGTTATATATTGCAATTGTCAATTAAAGAATGATTCCTTTCAATTAAAATAAATAAAATTATAAATTTCTAAAATTAGCTCATAATTAGAAATCAGTACAAATGAGCGGCTAAAAGGCACTACGGGATTTAACCTACACACCTACACACTACCACACCTACACACCAACAGACTACAGAAAAACACGCTCCCATCCTTCAATCAGAATTCGCACCTTCCCAGAACCCAGCACCAAGCCCTTGGGTTCATCGTGCTTCAAGAAGGTGGGATTGTTGACCATCGCGGCGTGTAGAGCCGCCACAACAACAGTAGTCTTGGCACGGACCAGGTTACTGTTGGTCAGCGGAACACCACCAAGAGAAGGCTGGCCATTCCCCGGCCTTTAGCTTTCAAGGGGGGCTTCAACCTGCACGCATGCACAAGAAACAGCTGTTAGTGGCTAAGCTTCAGGTAACGTTAAAATACTAAGCAAGAAACTTACCACGACACAAAGGTAAGCCACCATGGGAATCTTCACGTAGACCAGAGAGGACGTGACAACAGAGAATGCAGCCAAAGCAGCCTTCTCAAAAGCAATGTTAGCAAAGGGAATTCCTTCGCCATTAACATGCCACGCATATCCAAGTACAGATGCACAGGAAACAACAAGTAGATTAGTGTACTGTTCAAAAACCATAAATAAAAACACTAATACCGTGCTTCTTACCGTGCCTGAATTCTTCCAGCCACTTCTCTTCCGTGCGCTTCTTAGAAGGAATGATCTGCTCCACCGCCAGCAACGGCCACTTGCTCTCATCCACCAACCCACCCGCGCCCCATGCATAGAAACGAACCTTCTTGTGGGTGTTTGAACGTTTCGTTTTGATGACCTTCATCACCAGCTTCTCGAACTCGATTCTGCCGCCTGTCGCGTAGAAATACTCGTCGCGATTCACTCCACACAGCTGGTACTTGGTGATGAGGTGAGGTTGGAAGACTTCGAATGTTGGGAAGAACTCCATGCACTCCACTGGCGCGTCTGTTATCAGCCACGTGAAAGTGTCGAGAGCCTTTACCTGCAGTCGAATAAACGGGTAAACAGCAGAAACATTATTAAAAGCAGATGACCATGGTAGGGCCGTCTAAATACCAGCACACGAATATTTAACACACGGACGGTCAAACAGCGAATGTTCCATAAGAACCAAGACTTACTGCAAACTCCTTCTTTTCGAGGCTTGTCTTCACAATCACGTTGCCATTGTTGTCCCTTGTGAGATTTGCCGGGTTGACAATTGGGCCGTCTGAAGACATCTCCGACACCCCGCCCGCCTGTTGCGCCTCAAGCTCAACCAGTCGGGAACACAGGATTTCGCACTCAGAGTCGGCGCCGGCAAGCTTCTGCTGCGCTTCAACTTGCGAAATCTGCAGGATGTCAACGGTTGCTTTAAGATCTTCAACCTGCGCCTGCAGTGCGCGATTCTGTCTGACCCAGTGCGCATTGACAGCTGCAAATAGGAATCAACGACAAGTTCAGTATGAAATAACAATCAAATAAAAACTTAACATCACAGCTGGAAAAATAGAACAGGTCAAATGTTCCAAGAATACACTCACCTTCCGACCGTGTTCCGCGGACGGCACCGTTTTGTTTGATGCCCAGCTGTTGATGCTGCTGAGCAAGCTGCTGCTGCTGAGCAAGCTGCTGCTGCTGAGCAAGTTGCTGCTGCTGAGCAAGCTGTTGCTGATGCTGTTCGGCACCAGCTTCGTCCTCAGAATCCTCCTCGTCATCCTCTTCCTGCTCCTCGTCCTGCTCCTCGTCCAGCCCCTCGTCCAGCTCCTTGTCGAAGGCGGAGCGGTTATCCGTTGAAAAATCCTCAGCCAGCGCGCCGGTGGTTGCGTCAGCGAGAAACTCAAGGTTGTGCTGCTGCTGCTGCTGGGAAGCAACAGGCTGCTGCTGCTGCTGCTGGGAAAAAACAGGCAGCTGCTGCTGCTGCTGCTGGGAAGCAACAGGCTGCTGCTGCTGCGTTGGGAAAGCAACAGGCTGCTGCTGCTGCGTTGGGAAAGCAACAGGCTGCTGCTGCTGCGTTGGGAAAGCAACAGGCTGCTGCTGCTGCGTTGGGAAAGCAACAGGCTGCTGCTGCTGCGTTGGGAAAGCAACAGGCTGCTGCTGCTGCTGCTGGAAAGCAACAGGCTGCTGCAGCTGCAGGGAAGCAACAGGCTACTGCTGCTGGGAAGCAACAGGCTGCTGCTGCTGCTGGGCAGCGACACGCTGCTGCTGCTGCTGCTGCTGCTGCTGCTGCTGCTGCTGCTGCTGGGTAGTTGTAAAAAGCTGCTGCTGGCGAGTCGCGGGACGAGGACGGTTCGGGAGAGAGCTCGCGAGAAGCTGCTGCTGAGAACCCGCGGGCAGAGGGTTCAGGTTTGTAACGGTCTGCTGCTGCTGCTGGGAACTTGCTGGCAGAGGGAGGTCCGGGAGCCCGTCTGTGACAAGCTCCTCCTCGGTCGACGCGGGAGCAGGTAAGTCAGCTTGACTGCCTGTAGTAGCTCCAGCCTTCCTCCTCCGCTTGCCTTTCTGCCCACCGGACTTAGCGGCGCGGGATTTTTTCTGAGGAACCGGCACACCAGAGAGGGTGTGAACACACTTGGTCTTGCCGACGCTGCTAGCAATCGTCTCACGGTGCTTGAGAGCTTGCTGGTAGAGGGCTTGGTGGTTGTTCACAAGTGCATCTGCTTCAGCTTCAGTCATTTCTGCTGCAAATGGCGATGGAAGCGTGACCCCCTCCAGCTCCTCGCCCACCCCCTGAACCCTTCTGGTTAGCCCATTCCCTGCCCGATAATTTGTTTCTTCTACTTCCTCCATCGTATACGACGATATATCATCGTCTGTGAAGATAACGGCTTCATATACCAGGTGTAATGATACTTCGGAAGAATCAAAACTTGCACGAAAATGTTTTGACCGCCTATTCCTCTTCGGGAGTGAAACGTCAGCAAAAAAATCGGGCAAATATGTTGCGACCTCCGATGATTGGTTGGCTTGCGCGAGGTCGGCTGGCCACGCCGCGTGCGGTGCGAGCATCTTGACAGCCCCACGGTCCGGAGCCGTCAGATGTACATGACGGTGCACGTTTCTGCTCAAATGAATGTACGATTAGATCGCAACCGTCAGTGCGAATGCTGTCAGCTGGTTAAAGCTCGCGGCCCAAATTGCACAAGTTTAGTAAGGTCGACCCAGGTGTTTTTCAGGTGGTTTTTGACGGAAGTTCTGTTTTCGGCTTTGGAGTTTGGTTTCACACACCCCTCCCCGTCAGGATTACTAAGGTTGCCACGCGCGCCCCGCAATTTGGGCCGCGAGCTTTAAGTCGAGACCGTCAGACGAGCACGACAGCAGAAATGTGGCTCTCGATCAATCCACACCGTCAATATGGAATCTTCACTTATACAGCACGAGAGGTAATTGGAAGTTTCGAGAGAGGGGCACCACAGCTCAGCACGGAAATGAACCACGCAACCAGGCAACCAGGTTCATTGCACAGGACTTAGCCACCTATGCAAAGCCACGCGGCAACTACCCCGCCTGTGACACCCCTCACCCTATCCAGCACAGAGGCAGCTCTATGAACGTGGCTGGATAATGATACGTTGGTTCACCTCTGCGGTTTCCTATTAGCCAATACATCTCACTTTTGGGAGACGGTAGCGGACGGTAGCGCCCGGTAGCGCTACCGTCCGCGTCAGCAAGCTGCCCGCGGGCAAAACAAATAAACCAGGGTTCCGGATGGCATGCCATTCGGGAGCCTCAACCCTAAAATTTTAGGGTTGAGGCTCCCTCGGATGGCATGCCATACGGATGGGTTTTAGTTTTTTTCTTGCCCGCGGTCAGCTTGCTGACTCGATTGCACTGCCAGCTTCGCTGGCAGTGCAATATATATTCCACTATAGGGTGTGTCTCGCGCACTGTTGGCAGTCGTGACGTGGCCAGGGAATGGAGTTTCCAACATAGTTATGCTATGTAATTTCCCAACCGGCGCAATGTACACTCGGTAACCTTTCGCACGAATAACCAGGTTGTACTATACTTATTAACATTATTGCCCAGCCCAAACATGATATCTTTATTCTTTTGTTGCACTTTAAGTGTGTTTTTTCAAACTTTTTAAGCAGGTAGTTAATGAACTAACCTTTTAAATTGTACGTGATCCATGTATGCCTAAATATTGGTGTTAGTCAATATACAAGTGTCACTAATACGACACATCAAACTACATTTGTGCGAGCGATGTCAAACCACTTCCTACGGCAAGGGAGTAGGAGGTAGTAGAGAACTGTGTAAAGAAATACTGTTAAAAAAAACATCCAAACGAGCGTGCGGTGACATGTTGCGCGCAGGTCTGTGCTTGCACAGTTTCGGGCCACCAACTGCACAGACATGCGCCGCGTGCTGTGTACTTGTGCGAATGATCTCAATCTAGTTTCTACCGTCAAACAATATGATGTACTAGCGAACCGTGTGAAGAAATCGAGGTAAAAGTAACACTGAGACGTTGAAACAGTGACACGTTGCGCACAGGCCTACTTTTGCATAGTTGTAGGGTAGTAAACGCACATACGAGTGTCATGTGCTGCGTAGTTGTGCGAATGAGCTCAAACCAGTTCCTATGGCTACGAAATATCATGTACTAGGTATCTTTATGAAGAAATAAGGGAAAAAAGGCATCCAGACGTTGGCGCAGTGACATGTTGCGCATAGGCATATCCTCGCGCAGATTCGGGCCAGCAAACGCACAATCATGCGCCACGAGCTGTTTAGTGCAGGGTTCTCGTTATCAAACCAATTTGGTCTGATGGTCTGCGTTTAAGACTGGTTTTTTTGTATTCATCTTAATCCTAAGATTTTGTGTTTGTTCTCATCTGATCAGCAAGATTTGACTTTTAAGTTCGTATGATTTTTTCAGACGTGTAGAATTTTTTATCTGAGGATACAGATAGCGAGTTCGGTTTCGTCTGAAACCGACAACTTGACCCACTAGGCCATAGGCCCAGTTGACCAGAGGACAGGACCACCACAGGTACAGCCGATTGCTGCCTTGTAACTGCACGCGCATTCATTACGCGTGTCTTATACAGTTCTGTAACTGCCTTGTGCACCCTCGCTGGCATGTATCTGCGGCATATGCTGCCAGGCGTTTGTCGTTTGGGTGGCTGTCGGCGGCGACGCCAGCCACAGCCACGACAACGCGCTGTCCCGTTGTGCCAGCGCATTTGCTTTTCGTAGAGGGCGCGCAACACATCACTGTGGTCGTAGTGCCCCCCGCTCCCAACACGCACCGCCTTTCGGTTCTTAGTGCAGTGCACGGTGATGGGGTTTCATGCAGCTGGGTCTGGCTTGAAAACAAGCCTGTTTCTCCTGCTCGTCCTCAGCTCTCTCCCAGCCGAGCATGGATCGTTTCCCTCCCAGCGTCTGATTTCCCAGCGTGACGCTTCCCAGCGTCTAGGCTATGGCCGTCCCCGCCGGCGGACCGTGCGATGGGGAGCCCGTGCTTTCCGCCCTAGACTTCCTAAAGCGGGGCAAGCAGATCGCTTCTGCTGCCCCTCCGATTGCGTCGACCTCTGCTGCGATACCTTTGCCCAACTCGGAAAATGGCGATCAACACGTGCCAGCAACGACTACCCCAACAACGCTGTTATCCCCCCCGCTCCCTGACGAATGTGCAAATAAGAGCATCCCTCCAGTGTCGGTCGCTACAACCTCTCGTAGTGCTAACCCCGTCTTGCCTGACATATCTATGAAGAAGCGGTATAAACAGCGTGTTCTCACCGTCTGCCGTCCGGGCGGTCTGACTCAGCCAGCACCGTCAGTTCTTCCGCGCCCCGCGGAACCAGAACCTGAACCCGCGAGTGAAGACTTCGAAGACCCGAAGGGCAAGCAACTGTCGGTTGAGGAGCTTCAGTTGAAGTGCAAGCAGCAGTGGCAGCGGTATTTTCCTTGGCTCCTCATCTCCGAAAACAAGGCAGGCCGCCCGTGCATGCGCTGCAGCGTCTGCATGGTCTTCGGTGACCCGAACTACAAATACAGGCGTAACGGCGATGGCGGCATCGACATCCAGAAGCAGACGATGCGCAAGCATCACCACAGTCTGAAACACGAGGCCGCAGTCTTGAGGAAGGCGGAGCGCGACGGCGTCAAGAAAGTGCAGAAGTCAATTGCTGACTTCCACCGTGGGGACGCTGATGTCAAGCGTATTGCTCGGTTGATGGCTATCGTGCTATTCATTTGCAAGTCTGATGCTCCCATTGTTCTTTTCGTGGCTTTGGTTCAATTCATGGCAGAGCAGGGGACACCGGATTTGCCCCTGAAGGAGAACGGGACGTACTACACCGAGTAAGTGTCCCGTTTTACTCATCTTTTTTTTGTTATTTGTTTAGGAGTCTAACGAGTATCAACCCGTGGTGTCTCACGTACGGCTTCGCACAACTGGTCGAGACCATGGTGTGCTACCTCAAGTCCCGCCAGCTGAAGCACATCCGCGACAGTCCGTACCTTGGCATCCAGCTAGACGAGAGCACCGGCCGATGGCGGGGGAAGCACATGATCGTCTATTTGACGTTCATGCGTGACAACGCACCTGTCACGGAGTTCTTCGCCTTGCTCAGTGTGGAGCAGTGTGACGCCGCGTCACTCACCACAGTGCTCCTGACGCATCTGGAGAGTACCGGCATCGACCTACAGCGCCTCACCGGTATGAGCACTGATGGTGCTTCCGTCATGCTTGGACAGCACAACGGAGTCACCGCGCGCCTGAAAGTCAAGGTTCCTCACCTTGTGTCGTCTCACTGCATCGCGCATAGGTAAGCGTTGTTACTGCGCGTTTCCTGCCTACTTTTTTTAAAAACACCCGTGCTAATGTTACCATCTGCTGTCTTGCAGGGAGGCCTTGGCGGCCAAGGATGCTGCCGCCAAGCATCCTGACTTCAGCGTCGTGGACAAGGTGGTCCGCGCCGTGGCTGAGAACCTCGGTCGTTCCTGAGTTAACCACGCCCGGTCTCAAGAGCTTCAGGAGGTCATTTGCGAGACCCATCTTGAAGTTCAAGGCATCAAGGACGTCAGATGGTTGTCGCGTGGTGACGCCATCCAGCGCCTGGTGAAGGTTTTTCCTGCTGCAGTCATGGTGTTGCATGAAACAAACAAGAAGATGTATCAAGTCGTAACGAGCTATAAGTTCCATTTCCTGTTGTTCTTCCTTTCTGACGTCTTGAAGGAGCTCAACCTGCTAAGCTTGAAGTTTCAGCGGCGTCAGGTAAGCAGTTTCCCGAGTTACACGTGGCCGGTTTTTTCATTTACAATCTCTTACTAACCATCCTGCTTGTGCACCCCCGTTTACAGGTTGAGGCAACCCATGTGCTGCCGATGGTGCACAACACGACCTTACTGCTGCGCACACGCTACCTCGACTGCGACGACGCGATGTTTGGCCAGGGGGGAGACGCGTTGGGCCCGTTCCTCGACAAGCACGCATCTGGGGAGTTCCGCGAGGTCCTCGTTGCTGGCACTGCTTCCGACGGCACATCGGTCAGCCATCGATACCGACTGCACGAGGAGAAAATCAAGGGGCAGACGAGCGGTGTGGACCACCAAGCGTGTTTGGTGCTGGCGCGCGAGTTCATCACGACCCTGGTCGGCCGGCTCGACTACCGCCTCAAGGACCTGTCAAACCTCGACGGGGCGAAGCTGTTCAAGCAGTCATCCTATCCCAAGAACCAGGCAAAGCGTGAGCGACGGCTAGGCCAATGGCTCCAGTCTCTGCGCAACATGTTCAAGCGGAAGCCAGATGACCCTGACACTATACCAGGTGCGTTAAA